ATTATTATAGCATTTTAAAGTCATAATCAGGAAAACAGTAACCTGATAGAATGGCCTCCTGGCCAGTAAGACCTGAAGCTAATATTTAAAAACACCGAGCCCTTTCCTTGTCAAAATATTTCAATCTAGAGATGTTATATAGTTGATGTTTTTCACCATGGAGGTGCTTTGAGAACACGGAGATTGGTGAATTTCATTTTCTAACATAAGTTCAAATTTTAAAAAGTCAATACTGCTCCATTTGCTTTCAAACTGAAAGCATTTTTCCTGCAGTTTCTTTTCGAAAATTGCCGTCTACTACCCTCCTCAATGTACTCACTTAATCATTGTCAGTTTAGGGACAACTGAAATGATGAATGATAGAAAAACGTATTGAATAGGCAGAATAAAGCACACCGTGTGAGAAAGAAGGAGACGCATTATAAACCCTGACCAATCATGTTAGGACAATATGAACAGCCTTGAAGTGCTTTAACTCCAATCATAGAGAGGTTAGATGCATCTTGGCCTCTGCAGCGCTGCTCTATATGCCTCTCCTGAATTTTAAGCCTAGCATATGGCTCTAAATGACTTTCCTGAATGATTAAAGTTAAGGGGAACACTTTTCTGTCCTTTCAAATCTCATTTTCTGTTACTTCCACTCACTCAGTGGGAGAAAAGTGCCTGTGAAATGAAAATGTCAGTTGATGAAATCCAAGGAAAGATATTTAAGTGCTCCGAAATGAGCTGTGATCTGGCACCGAGAGCGTCACCTGGACGGCACGGGGCCGCAGTGCTAATGTTTTTTTCAAACGTGGACCCGCGCTGATGAAATACAGTATCAAGGAAAGAAATCGCCTCTCGCTGTGTCATGAATGCCATTTCTATTTTCTCCCTCCCCACAGGACACGGAGATCATCAACACGGCCATTCTTACCGGACGCACCGTGGCCATTCCCGTCAAAATGGTCTCCATAGAGATGAGCGGGGCAGTCACGGACGTCTCGACCTTTGTGCAGTGCAAGTCGTCGAATGAAGACATTGTAAAGGTACGGTTAACCACATTTCCTCCATGCCTGTGCCTGGGAGATGTAATTCGGGGCAAATGTAATCCCTTTAACCCTGCACAGAACCACGGTCACATCATCAGGAAAGCATAAAAAATACATTTGCAGCGGCCCCATGTGTTTTTGATTCGATTCCTGCCTTAGATGCAATCAGGGGAGGTAGATATCAGTCTACATATAAATCGATAAGGTAACAAATGAACAGTAAAAGCTCCATTATATGCTTTTAGAAGTGCCAAACCTGAAGCTCCACATGGCAGACACTTTTTTTCTTAGTGCAAATCCTAATAAATTTCCTTGTTCACCTCGCTTCAACTGCAGCAGGAAAACAAAACCCTAGTTTCCCAGAATGATGGAAGGCTCAGCGTCAAGTATTTGATTGATCTAATTAAATCCGGGTCTCAACAACCCGTAGGACGCACTAGACTCTGTGATAGCGCTGTTCTTTTGCACTCCAGTCAATTACAGCCATATTTGACAACAATATAGGCTGATTGCGTAACTGTATAGGGGGCATATATGTGTCACCATGTTGTTTTGCACCGTGAGATTAGTGAGAGTGAATGTGTAGAGGGAGCTGGGGTTTAGGAGAGAGGAAATGCTGAATAATCTATGATAATATATTGAAATATGCAGCAGTGCAAAATGGGCGGCATTTTTTTGATTCTTGAAATTTTACTCTTTGAAACCTTTAGGCAAGTTTTTTTTTTTAAATCCAAAACCAAGGCACTCTTTAAAATGCATCTTTCTATAACCAAAGTATTTTTTTCCTAATATTATTTAGGAAAATATGACAAAATTGCAAATGTCTACAAAATCTCACTTTAATAAACAGTTTATTTTTTTAGGTATTCCATCTGCTCTAATAAACATCAGTTACTTCAAAGCCTTTGAAAGTTGTCATAAACATGATGTAATTAGTAAATGAAGAAAAATCAGCACCTGATGTTTAAATCAAACCTTTATGCTTTAAACTTCTGGATTTTATTGCAATGCTTTTTAAGCAACATTTGAGTCCAAAAAAAAACTTGATTTGAGTGAGAATGAGGGGCTGAATGTCTAAAATTCCTACTATATATTAACAGTAATGGTAATAATATTCCCCTTTCAACATTTGGTGGGCTGTGGGCTCACCAGTAGCCTGAGCAAAATAATAACATCTGAATAAGTAATTTTTTCTTGAAATGAGTGCATTTGTTCTTGAGTTGAGGAGGTAGGTGAGACACATTGGCAATGGAAAAAGACAATTTACATTTAAAATAAGAACAAAAAAGTTTCGAACTCACAACCTCAGCATTCCAAGCTTAAGAACAGACCATGAGCTGTTTGGATTATCTTTCTGCATCTGATGAATCTTATGTATTTGCTTGAGTAGCGGTGCATCTAGATCAGTTAGCGAAATGAAAAAGCCCCGTTAGCCAGTAGTCGGTTTTATTGAAGATGATGAGAATAAAAATTATTCTTTATTCTGGTGAGCTGGGAATTTACTAACGCCATTACCTTGTTTTAGTAACGAGTAATCTAACTAATTACTTTGACTGTAACTATAACACAGTTACCATTGCAGACACCCCGTTACTGCGCGTTACTCAGGTCGCACAATGAACCTTTTTTCATGATAGGACTAGTGCGCGCCTTGTCATGAGAGAGGGGAGGATGAGAATGGCTGATGTATGGTGAGATTCCGTCTGTCAGTTGGGTAGGTGGGTGTTTCT